CCTCCCAGGCTCAAGTGACTCTCCCACTTCAGCCTCAGCACAAACCAGCTAATTTTTGTATTTTATTTAGAGGCGAGGTGTTGCTATGTTGCCCAGTCTGGTCTCTAACTCCTGGGCTCAAGCAATTCACCTACCTTGGTCTCCCAAAGTGCTGGGTTTACAGTTGTAAGCCGCTGCGCCTGGCTTACTTTACAAATATTTTATACAGTATTCTTTCATAGCTACTTAATGTCTAATTGCAAATAAAAACAGCAGCATAAAGGAGAAAACTCTATATGGTTTTTTATAGACGGTGAAAAGGCATTTGACAAAATTCAGCCAGTTTCCAGGGTGCACAACCCACATTTCATTCTACATGACTGGTGCCCCCTGGCGCCTGACTCAGGCAGGACTGGTAGCTACAGAAGAGTCCCAGCAGCCGCAAGAGAAACTAAAGGAAACGCCAACATTTTAAAAGCCACTTGCCGAAGAAACTCTCACTGCTCAACTCTCACATGTAAATTTCCACCCACATCAGAAACAAGCCCCGGATCATTATTCAACATTGTTTCAGAGATTCTAACTAAATCAAACTGACAAAATAAATTGGTATACTGGTAAATTTGTATCTATAAAAAAACAGATTTATTAAAACTACCAGAATTCCTAAGATAGAAAGTGAATTATATTAAATCATTAGCTTTTCTCCATATTAACAATCAGGGAGCAATACAGATGGAAAAAAGTATTCCATCACAGTAGGCAAAAGCCATAAAACGCTTAGGAATAAATTTAACCATAGAACTCATATAAATAATTTATAATGTCTTATTGGAGGACTTAAAAGAAGTCTTGAGTAAATGGAAAACCATTTTTTATCCTCTGGGGGAGGATTAATATCATAAAAATGTCAATGCTCCCAAACCTTACATTTAAATTTAATGCAATTATACTTTAAATCCCAATGGAACGCTTTCTTTTAGGCAGGGACGGGAGAGAGCTGGATAACGCGAATAAATATTTCAAGTGAGAGAATAAATTCCAAGACTGGAAAAGTATTTTTTAACAAGTGAGGGAGACTGATTTATTTAGATACTGATGATACCCAAAATTAGTTTCAACCAGAACCTCACCCCTCATATCAGACTCACTTGTGCAACTGACAACAGATGTCTCCATTGGCGTCTAAGGGGGCATCTCAAACCCAACAGGTCCACACCTGTTAGCTCATTTAATAAGTGGGCCTGGAATAAGTTAATTTCCACGTGGGGGCGGGGGATGCTTGACTCTTGCCTTACAGCTTATACTAAAATATATTCCATAAGGACTACAGGTAGTCTAGTAAAAAACAGAAAATCAAACATTGCAACAAAATGTAAGCGAATATAGGGGGAAGGAGAGAAAAGAGAAGGGGATTGATTTCCCCAAGCATGATAGGAATCCTCAAAACTTTAAAACATTTACCTTCCAACAAACACCATAAACCAACCAAAGGACAAACACATAGAAAACGGACCAATGTCGTGAAGTCCAAGAGGTTTCAGGAGCTCGGCCTCAGGTCAAAAGGCAGGCAGGCAGGCAGGCTAGCTGGCTCTTCTGGGCAAAAGGAAAAACACGCAGCTTCCTTTCCAAGTGTTCTACCTTGCAGAAATCAAAGAGCTGACCCTAAGGACAACTGTTCAACAAATGTTTTTCCGAATGACCCCCTCAAACGCTAGAAAACAACCAGAGGGAAAAGATTTCATCTGCACTTTTACTTAATTAAAACGCAGCAGCCTGGAGGGAAAAAAAAATCCTCGCTCTTCTCCTTGGGGTGCGGGTGCGCCCTTGCTCTCCCCCTTCTACCTAAAAGATGCGAGGAAACCCTCAAAGGCCGCAGCCACCTGCACCAAGCCCTGAGCGCCACCACCGCAAGCTCGCGAGGCTTCCAAAGCGCATGCGCAGGTCACAGTGCTCGTGCAGCGCGCCAGCAAAACCGCGCATGCGCTGAGCCATTTCCGCCTCGAGCGTGTGCGGGGTAGGGGGTACTCTCCACAGTTCGAAACCGTTAGCTGGTTATGAACGGTTCATAACGGGCGTTCATAACCACGCCCTATTAGACTGAACGTGGTCCAGCCGCGAAGCGTCTAGAGAGATGGCCAAGTGCTGGAGTCCTGGCTGCGTCTTCTGAGCCAGGTGAGAATTTACAACCCGCCCTCGGCCATGTGTTGTGCTGTGTTCGCTGATGATTAAGCATCAGAAACCCAGAAACTCTGAACCTTCTGACAAAGGGCTTCTCCCCAGCTCTCCGCAGTGCCCCAAACCTAGCGGGACAGATCGGTTTACATGGTGGGGCACCGGGGAGGGGAGGGAGAACCCAGAGCTTTCAACAAGGGAAGAAGTGATGTGGAGAGGGACAATTAGGCCAGGCTCGGTGGCTCACGTCTGTAATCCCAGCCCTTTGGGAGGCTGAGGTAGATGGATCTCTTGAGGCCAGGAGTTTGAGATCAACCAGGCCAACATGGCGAAACCCCGTCTCTACTAAAAGTAAGAAAATTAGCCGGGCGTGGTGGCACGCGCCTGTAATTCTGGCTACGAGAGAGGCGGAGGCAGGAGAATCGCTTGAACCCCGAAAGCTGAGGTTGCAGTGAGGCGAGATGGCGCCACTGCACCCCAGTCTGGGGTGACAGAGCCAGACTGTCTCAAAAATAAATAAAATGAAGTAGGGAATTAGAGCTGGCCATGGCTTCACTGGAAACCTGCAGTTACTGTAGCAGAAAGGGGCCTTCGAGAATCACTGTTAGCATCTCAACATAGTGGTGTGAGCACCCTCCCCCTTACCTTCCAGGCCTTGGCAGGCAGCTGCTGACATGCCAGAGCCCTAGGAAGTGCTGAAGGCACCTGGGGTTCAGGCCCTCTGGAAGCCCAGCCCCCCCTCACCCTTCGGGGATACTGGAACTGGCCAAATGGTTAGGCCAATGAGGATGGCTGCTGGGTAAGCACATTATCCCCACATCAGACAAGTAAGTAGCTGAAGGCCTACAGGTAGAGGTGGGGACCAGTGAATCTTGGAAGCAAAGATTGGGTGGTCAGGACAGCAAGGGGCTCTGGGCTTCAACCAGAGCAGCTCCAGGACTACTGGCTTTCCATATAGGCTTCTGGAGACATTTTAGGTGGATAACAGGCCCTGAGGCTGAATAAGCTGGAAAGCCTCTGCCATCATCTGACTCCTTTCTTTTAGAGGAGGAACAGGGAGCCAAAATGGGCAGTGACTTGTCTGAGGCCTTGCCAGCTTGAAGAAGGAAATGTCTGCTGAACCCATCAGTGGCCCTGGTAAGGCCTGGTGCATTGCAAGTTACTGGATGAAAATGGTGACTGGCGAGGTACGGTGACTCATGCCTGTAATCCCAGCACTGGGAGGCCAAGGCAGGTAAATAACTTGAGTTCAGGAGTTTGAGACCAGCCTGACCAACATGGTGAAACCCTGTCTCTCCCCAAAAATACAAAAATTAGCCAGGCAGGGTGGCATGCACCTGTAGTGCCAGCACCTCGTGAGGCTGAGGCAGTAGAATTGCTTGAACCCAGGAAGCAAAGGTTGCAGGGAGCCGAGATCCACTCCACTCCAGCCTGGGTACCAGAGCAAGAGTCGGTCTCAAAAAAAGGAAAAAGAAACAACTCCAAGGCCGGGCATGGTGGCTCAAGCCTGTAATCCCAGCACTTTGGGAGGCCGAGGCGGGTGGATCACGAGGTCAAGAGATAGAGACCATCCTGGTCAACACGGTGACACCCCGTCTCTACTAAAAATACAAAAAATTAGCTGGGCATGGTGGCGCGTGCCTGTAATCCCAGCTACTCAGGAGGCTGAGGCAGGAGAATTGCCTGAACCCAGGAGGCGGAGGTTGCGGTGAGCTGAGATCACGCCATTGCACTCCAGCCTGGGTAACAAGAGCAAAACTCCGTCTCAAAAAAAAAAAAAAAAAAACAACTCCAAATGTCCATAAATAGGAGACAGTATATCTAAGACAATGAAATGCTTTGTGGTTCTGAAGAATAAAGGAGACCCATGTGGGTTATTCTGAAACAGGTTCCAAGCTATACTAAGATAACAGGCAGAAATGGAACAGAGTGGAAGTGTGTGCACTTAGGAGGGATACTCTCCAGGGAGAATTCAGGGATTGGGTGGGAAAAGGGAAGCTTGTTTTTCATGGTCTAGCCTTTTAGATGGTTTTAATGTTTACCATGTGCATGTGTCACTTAAAAACAAAACACCCTAGGCCAGGCATGGTGGCTTACACTGTAATCCCAGCACTTTGGGAGGCCAAGGTAGGTGGATCACTTGAGCTCAGGAGTTAAAGACCAGCCTAAGCAACATGGTGAAACTCTCTACCAAAAATACAAAATAATTAGCCAGGAGTGATGGTGTGCACCTGTGGTCCCAGCCACTTGGGAGGCTAAGGAGGGAGGATCACTTGAGCCTGGGAGGTGGACGTTGTAGTGAGCCGGGATCGATGCCACTGCACTCCAGCCTAGGTGACAGGGCGAGACTCCCGTCTCAAACAAAACACCTTAAAGTTCCCACCCGTCTCGTTCCTTTAACACCAGCGTTGCTGCCCTTCACTCACTCTCTTGCAACCTTGGGCAAAGGTTCTTCCCACCACACATCAGCCAAACCATCTCCTCCTCCCAAGTCATCAGGGAGTTCCAAGCTGGTCACCTCTCCCTTGATGTTCCCAGGAAATCAGGAAAGGGGACTCCTGCATTTTATCTTTCCATCCAGAGTGGCAGGATCTCTGCCTGGGAAACAAGCTGCTGCATTCAGCACAGCTGTGGTAGCATTAACACAGCAAAGTGGGCACATCTAGAAGTTGAAGCTAAAACATTCAGGAACTCCAGTCTGTTTCTGTGGGTGTTAAGGGGGGTGAAGATAAAACAATGGAGGTGATGAGGAGGAGGAATAACTTGAAGACAGTGTAAAGCCACAGTGGTACAAAGAATGAAGTGGAGGAAGGTGCTGGATTTTACTAAGAAGAAAACAGACTGAGTTCAGGAGTCTCACCAGTAGAAGTTTATAGTATTGCATTTTGATTACATGTGTGTGAATTTTAAAAATTATTACCCTTCAGTAGGAATGCAGAACCAACTTTCATTTAGATTAAAACATTAGGTTTGGGGACAAAAGTTGACCCCATGCTGCCTGAGATGGAGAGAGCAGGTTGGCAGAGGAATCACCAGCTCAAGGAACCCCAAGACTTGGACAGTCTTCCAGCAGAAGAGGCCAGGGTCTCTCAGTGTACTACCCCAAACAGGCCTCTCCCAGAGATGTAGTCTGGAAAGGCCCAAAACCCACCAGGTACAGGCATATCCAGTGGGGAAAGACTTCCCATTCCAGAAGTCCACCTCTGCTTCCTAGTCTTCTGCTGACCTCAGAGCAGCAGGGTGGCCATTGCTAAATTGCTAATCTGGGTTAGGGAGATGCCAGAAACACACCCAAGTTTGAACCACAGGTTAATGGTACAAAGTCATATAGTCCTTGTGCCTTCAGAAAACCCAGGGGCCCCAAATCCAAGTGGGAAGAGAGTTGGGAAAAACTGAACCAGATTCTTCCAATGGCCATTAAAGAGAAAATTCAGCAACCCTTGCCTTTGTCTTTGACCCTGAGAAGTTAAGGGACACAGATTGTGGTGCTGTGATGGGACATGGAAAGTATGGTGTGCTTCCTGCAGAGATGCCTTTGGAGTCCCTGTGGCCAGGGGACCTCACTGGCCCCCTCCTCAGGCACCTTGATGGGGCTCAGTGGGGCCAGGCCGAAGGGAGGAAGTAGAAAAGTATCATCAGGCTCTCCAGATCAACGGGCACCATCCAAGGCCCTGCTGCACCCAAACATGGAGGCCTCCACCACCAGCTCAGCCCCAGGGGTTCTTTCACACATAAGCTCCTTCCCTAAGGAGTCCTGTAGAGTTCGACAGTGTGCTACCCAAGTCAGAGATTCACCACAGATCTGTCTCCTCCTCAACCTGGACTCAAGTTACTAAGGTGAGAAACTTCACTGTCCATGGTTAACTGAAGAAATCCTCCTTCAGAGAGAACGTGAGGGTAGATGAGGTGGTTAGACAGGGAGGATCTTTTTCCCCAAGCTGTTTGGACAATACCACGGCCAGGACCAACTCTGACAGCTGCAAGAGAGCCCCTCCAATGTGGAACCTCCTACACATAGCCTTGCTTTTGGGTCCCTGGATCTTAGCCCACAGCAGGGCCACTCTGGGGGGAACTCTCCCTCCCATCCCTCAGATCCCCACATTGTTCTTCCTCTAGGAGAAAAGTGTCGGCCCTGCCCCTGGATCTTCTCCAAGATGGCACTGGACTCGCCACTATCTTGAGGAGCCAGGAGCTGAAGTGGCTCAGGCTTAGCAATCCACTGTGGCCAAAGTGGAAAGGTTCTTTGCAGTCACCAAAAAAAAGAAAAGTATAGTCTCACAGGCACAGCATCTTCTTTTAAAAAATAAATATTTATAAACTTAGGGAGGAAGATTCAAAGAATCAGAGTATCTTTCCCTCCAAAAACACAAATGTCCCATGTGAGTTAAACCAAGGTATGACCACCAACCCATGAATGAAGCCCCCTCCCCCCTGCAGCTACAGAGTTGAGGGGCGGGTGGGCAGGGGAGCTACTCTTGCTCCTGTCTTCAGTCCCCCTTGGTGATGAGGTCCTCAATGTAGGCATCCAGCTCGTCATCTGTGTTGATGTCTATGTCCTGGAATAAAGCAGGACATGGGTCAGCTGGGGGCAAGAAAGTGGTTGGGGGGCTCACCTTCCCACCCTTCTCTCAGCTCCTGAGATGGAGCCCAGAGTCCCCTTCCCCACCTCCCACTCTGCCCTGGCTGTCAGGCTTCTGTCCTGTCTTAATCATTATCCCCTCCCCCATCTTACTGTGCACAGATGATGCCCAGATTTCCTACGCCCACCCTGTCTCTACCCCATGTTCCCAGTTGTCATACTACAAATATGCCCACTTCTCTCCCTTCTGTTACCGCCCAAGGTCCATGCCACCACTATCTCACTCAGGCAACTGTGGGAGTTAGAACTCTGGTTTCACCCCTCCAGTCCTCCTCCAACCAATCAGGTAAGTGTCTGAGACTAAAAACTGCCACTCCCCTCCAGTGATCTCCATTGTTCTCAGGATCAAATCCCACAACTTTCAAGCTCCTACCACCCCCAAGTCCCTGCTCAGGCCTCGAGTCCTGCTCTTCTTCCTTCTGCCTGGAATAGTCTTGTCACACTCTTTCTTTGCATGACTGGCTTCCAGTGTCATGGAACACCCTAGTCAAGTGGCCTTCCCACACTCCTTATGAACCACCATCGGTAATTCTGTCTCTTCTACCAGACTGGCAGACTGTGAGAGCAGGAACCTTCTTGTTCATTCCGTATCCACAGGACAGGCACAGAGCAGGCCCTCATGCTTACTGCCTAGATAAAGGACCAATACGCTAAGGGGCGCTCCCCCCTTCTGGGCTACCCAGTCCCATCTGGGCGTCATCTGGAAAAGAACTTTGTTTTTATGGCTTGGAGGGTTCTCAAACCAGGCTGTACGTCAGAATGTCTAAACAAGGAGAAAAGCCTGGTTCTATGGGTCTGGCTGGGCTGAGGCCCAGGCAACCACACCATCTCAAGCCCTCCTGTGAGGGTGCTGTGCAGCCAGGGTGGGAATCATAGATTCCTGTGAGTGGATAGATTCTTGTGAGAATAGAACAGGAACAGGGCCCAGGCCCCCCTCCCTGAGAGACCAGGTGGTCCAGCTGCAACAGGAAGGCTGCCGGGCTCACCTCCTGCACCTTTTGCAGGAGTGCCACGATGTTGGTCCTCAGCTTCTGCAGCTTCTCCTCCGTCTCGCGGAGCTTCCTCTCAGAGGTGCGTAGGCTTTCCTCAGAGGCCTTGGCCCGGGAGTCAGCACGGCTCTGGTAGGAATTGCACAGGTTCTGGAGTCCCACTTCATATTGCTTGAAGTACTCTTTCTGTTGGGAGCACAGCAAGAGGGAGGGTGCATAAGTTCACAGGGGTCCTCAGGGCCCTTCTAGGCTGGCATCTCCAGCCTGCTCTGCCCAAGGATGCTTGGTCTGAAGGAACATCTTACAAAGGGCAAACAGCTTGTCTACATCTAAAGTAGGGAGACATCAATGACTATCTTGTGAGGCTGCCACAAGGATGAAGATACTTAGCACACAGGTAAAGCACTCAGCACAGTGCTCTGACAGACAGCAGACCGTGAAGACATATGAGGGGTGATTCTTACTATTCCAAGTGGCAAAAAAAGGAGGACAGAATCACTCTTACATAATCATAACCTGTCTGACTTCACTATGGCCCTTTCAGCAATGCATTTCCAAGACCTAACCAACAATGTCAGCACACAAGTCAGTTCTCTTTCCACCTACCAACCAATAGCAGATACCTCCAGATTTGTGCAGTAGCTTTTTACTATTTTCCTGAGTACCTGAAACCTCCAGGGGGTGAGGTAGGAAAGGAAACAAGCAGTTTTTCTAGTGGCTTTTCAAACTTGTAAAAGGGAGCAGAATACTTGTTTCAAATGAAATGTGACATGGAATCTCGGTGAGAAAAGCAATGCAAGTATCTCTTTAGGTTGAATTTCTTTTCCAAGTCAAATTTACATGACTTACTCCTAAAACATTGAGAATCATGAGCCCACTATGATGAACACAAAACCACAACCAGCAAGTGCTAGCTGGCTACTGCAGTCTTATCAACTCTAGTGTTTACCTCTGTAAAGATGCATGAGCTACCTAGCCTGGAGATGCTATTTTTAAATAGTATCTAGAAGTTATTGCTTGTTACTGACAAGTATTTAACTGTGTCATTCACCTTATCCTACTAAACCAAAATAGCAAGAGAAACCTCTAGTTCTACACAAAACAATAATTGCCTTGGCAGCACAAAATAAATGCTGGGGCAATCTCCAAAGTATTAAAATTCAGTATGCAACATCTTGAAAGTGGATATGGTTTGTAATAATTTTTTCTTAATTATTTTGAGGTAATGTAGATTCACATGCAGTTGTTATATTAATTTCTTTGAAAAAATGATACTTGAATCTAATATTGCAAGGCTCCTGAAGCTCTATGGAACTCCTGATTCATACGGATAAAGGATATTTACAGACTGACAAGGACATAATGAACATTAGACTTTGTTTTATCCCTGATGCTAAAAAAATGTAATAGTTTGGTTTTAGACATTATAATTAGCAGGACAAAGCTGAGACACTAGTATTATTCCTCCTTGTACAAAAAGAAGCGAATTTTTTTTGACACAGTCTCACTCTGTCACCTAGGCTGAGTGCCATAGCACAATTTTGGCTCGCTGCAACCTCTACCTCCCGGGTTCAAGCAATTCTCATGCCTCAGCCTCCCAAGTAGCTGGGATTACAGGTGTGTACCCCCACATCTGGCCAATATTTTTTGCTTGTTTTAGTAGAGATGGGGTTTCACCATGTTGGCCAGGCTGGTCTCAAACTCCTGGCCTCAAGTGATCCACCTAGCTGCCTGAGCCTCCACACCCAGCCTAATATACTATTTTTAGATGCTCATGCTGACTTTGTTTTGGGCCTAAGCAGTCAAGCCCACTGCAGAGATCCTGCTGCACCTAGTCTGTATTCTGAGTTTAGCAATAACTTTAAGCCAAACCCAACAAATCTGACAAGATGCCAGGCCAACCCAGCCACCCTGTTAGCTGCTTTTCCTCCTGGGATCTGCAGAGAGCACCTGCAGCCTAAACAAGAACAAAAATTGAAGTGTGGACCTTTCTGTGAAGCAGCTGTGATTTCTGCACCTTCCAGCTCCCTCACTGAGCACAACCCCCTCATATCTTGCAAGGAAAGTAAGGCAGCATCGTGAGCAGAGCAAGTCCTAAGAAGTACCTGGGTTCAAATCTGGGCTCTCTCACTGACCAACAGACTCTTTACCTCTCTGAGCCTTAGTTTCTTATTCCAACTCCTGCTTCATTTCATGTTTTAAAAAATAGAATAATGACAAACTCCATGTTTTTATCTGTGGCAAACTTCAAGCACACAACTGCCCCATGAGTACCCAACATCTTGAATATACTAATCCTGCAGTTTCCATTCCAGTCATCTTTTCTCTAGAATCTCTTTCCTAGAAAACTTAGCTATTCCTATCATAGAAAAATAATCCCACTTGATGTAGACAATTCCCAGAGCCCCATCTCCAGCCCTGGTCTCCCCCTCCAAGTGCCAGTCCCTAATCTCCACCTGCACACTGTACATCACCAGAATGGTAGTGAGGGCACTTCCGGCACCACACAAACCTCCATTCGTCACCTTTGTTGGCATTCACCCATTTTTCTCTCCTAGCTAATAGCTTTGTCATCAACTTCCAATTCCCACAGGCCCGAGTCACTTGCCTACAATCTATAATCAGTCTGCTGACCTCTGACACAGCCCTTTCACCCCCAAGCCCACTGCCACCACACTGGCTCCTGTTCCCATTCTTTCACCTCTGACCTTTTACATAGGACCAGCCTTCTTGCCCCTGCGTCTCCTATGCACCCATCCTACCCAAACATGCTGCTACCCAAGTTACCCTCTTAGGGGCAGGGGCAGCAGACTACAGCCCCTGGGCCAAATGAGCCTGCCAACTGCTTTTGTAAAAAAGCTTCATTGGAACACGGCACATCCATTTACATGTTGTCTGTGGCTGCTTTTATGCTATAATGGCATTTGCCACATAGACTGTATAGCCTATGAACCTGAAATTACTTGCCAACTGGCCCTCTACAGACATGGTTTGAATGACAATTCCTGCAGCTCAAAAACATCAGATCCTGGCTTTCAGGCCCCTCTGCCCTAAATGCTCATCACACAGCCTGCTGCCCTGACCCCTCCCCCAGAGCCTTTGCTCACAAAAGTCCCCATGTCAAACACTCCTTTTCACTTATACAGGCAGGCCAAAATGCACATTTTCTTCTGGCTCAGTTGCTTTCTCTGCCCCCGAGGCCGCCACAACCCTCCACAGCCTTTCTAGCCACTTTCTCAGCACTCACTGATCCTGCCCTCATGTCCAGCTACCTGGTAACAACTCAGTCTCTACTGAATCTTGAGCCACTTGAAGGCAAGACTCTCTTGCTGCTCACTATGAGGTCCAGCAGTCACCTGCTCGGGCAAGGCACCCCTTCAGCATTTGCCGAGTTAAGACCCAGTGCTTATGTCCACACATCACAAGCTTCTCTGTACCTCCCTCCGAAAGTCAAGTTTTCTGCACTTTGAGCCTCAGCTCTTCACTGTTGCCTGGGACAGGTTTACTCCCTCTGCTGGAGGAGAGGAAAGGGGGTATTCTTGTCATAAAATGTCAAACTACACCTGCTGTCCCTAAGGGATGACTCAACTCCCAGCACCTGTGGTGGGAAGGGGTTGGCTTTCTGCACAGCAGAGTCATATCCATCTAAGCCAATTTTTTTTCCACATCATAAAGTCTCCTCTCTCCTTTCAGCAGAAGAGAGGCTGGCTGAGATGGAACCCACAGCTGAGAGTTAGCAACTGCAACAGGCATAACAATCACAATCACAACAGTTACAACAAATGCAGGGGCGTGGGTGGGGAAATGAAGAATATGGAATCGAAGGTCAGGCCAGACTCACCAGAGGAAAAGATATTAGCTCATCTGAATTCATAGCACTCAGCTGCTTCTTGGAGATGGGGAAACTTGGAGGCAGGAAGTACCGTAAACAATTCCTAAAGAAGGCAGGGACAGGAATTCAGAATAGCATGGAAGAAGTGGAAAGCTGCTGGCCCTGGAGTGGGAAGACAAAAAACACGTACCGGAGGATCTGAACGAGCAGGTCGATGGTCTCATGATTGGTGCTCAGGGCGGTGGTGTCAGGCTCGATGCGGAGGCATTCGGAAGTGGAGGGCTCTGCCATGGCTATGGCCTGCTGGGCCACAGTGGCCTCCTCTTCCTCCCTGCCCTCCTGCTGCATGTCAAGGCTCTGATATTCCGGAGAAGGGGGTTTCATCAGCCGCACATCCTCACTGCCTTTCTCCACCCTGTGCAGACACAGAGCTTATGTCTGACGCAAGCTCCCAGGATGGGCTGCTAACAGGGAGGCTGGGGATACCTCCTCCAGAGAACTACTCTTCTCCCTGATTGGGGCATTACCAGCGGTCTCTCGGTGTCGTGTCTGTGGGCACGTAGTCAAACTTCACCTTCCACCGCACCACATGCTTGGCCACCTCCACGGCTGTGACACGGCCCGTGTACCACTCCCTATTCACACGCACCTCCACGTGCAGCCCTTTATCTGACAATGTAGAGAGAGGTGCGAGTCAGAAAACTAGCCCAGAATCCCTCGCTCAACCCAGGCCACATTGAGAAAGGCAGTCCCCAGGGTTTGGAGGACAGGAACACTAGGTGCTTGCCCCCACTACACCAGGGACACAGACCAGGGACCAGCCACCATTGTCTCTTCCCATCTGTCATGACGGTGCAAAGAGTAGGAGAACGAGTGACCACCAGGAGTGAACACCAAGGAATTAGTGTTAAAAATAACCACAAAGTGGGGTGATCCCTTCAGAATTCTGCTTGGAATTAGACTTGGATCCACTGCTGCACAAGAGCCCAGACCCAGGAAAGATTCCACGAGCCTTTGGTAAACTGCTGCTGGTAAGGGGCTCTGCTTCCCCTCCCTCCACAGGCTGCCAAGTCATTGCCCCAACTCACCTTTCTGAGCTCTCTTGAGGTCGGCTGAGTCCTCTTCCCCAGCACTGTCTGAAAGCTGAGTGGAGAGCAGTCTTTTAGTGGCACCCCAGGGCCCCCTAAGAGCAGAATATGCCTTACTGACCACCTGGGGTCATCAGCCATCATCTTTATGATTTCCTGTGCTACAGTTTAAATCACCAATCCCCACTGAGGGCCACACTCTAAAATCACTGTCCAAGGTACCTACCCTTCTGCCACCTTTAGGGACATAATGTGTTTCAAGCCCCACTGATGTACGTCTGTGTGACTTCAGGCCCATGATTAATCCAGAAGCCAGTCTTACTCAAGACCCTACCTGGCACCATGTTTAGTCATTTGTGTGACTGAGGGTCCTTGAGAGATCACTAGGCTTCTGGAAGGCTCATGCCATGAATACAAACAGAGCTGGTCAGACTGCTGGTGGGGTGTGCAGGCCCTAGAGAGGGAGGCTCTGAGAACCCCACCTCAACCACTCACCTCATTTGAGTCCTTCTTTTCTTCCTTCACAACAAATCTGCCCCGCTTGCACCTCTCCTTCCTCCTCTCAGCTTCTTCCTCAACTTCTTCCTCATCAGAAACTGTGACACTCCGCTTTCGACTAGGGGTAGCCTAGAGCAAGAGGAACGTGAGAATGTGAGGTGCCTTGTTCAGCCTCTAAGGAGCAGGAAGATTTCATCTAGCCTAAAGGAGCCGTTCCAAGAGGAGCTTGCACTCCCTGCAGTCTTTCCCTCACATTACTTGGAATGTACACAGGTAACCCGCTGGCCCCTGTGCCATAAGGATCTTTGCTCAAAGCTGTCATAGGGGAAGCTTCTCAATTCCCTTCCCACTTTAGTCAGCCTGGCCAGTCAGCTGTTACCTCCCCAAGAACCACTGACCACTGCCGCAGCCCACTCAGGCTGTCACCAGAAGACCAACCTATACTCATACTTCCAAGAGCGAGTGGAGGTGACTCAAGTTTGTGGCAGACCAAAACTCGGAGGGAGCAGTGAAGAGCTCACTGTACAAGCAACCAATGTGCTCTATGGCCCTGGACAAGCCCTCAGGGGCAGCAGCAAAAGCTTTAGATTCAGAGTATCTTCCTAAGACCCCCAGTACAGCTATGACACTGCACAATTCCATTCCTACACCACTGACGCTGGGCTGGGAGATCGAGGAGGATAAGCATCTCACCGGGGAAAGTTTGATGGGTGGCTCTGCCTTCTTCACCACTGGAGTCTTGATGACTTTGGGAGAAGGGACCTCCCGAGAGCTCTTGGAATTGGGCAGTAAAGATGGTGACAGTTGCTGCACCAGAGGGGCAGGTCGGGATACAGTCTTGACGAGAGTGTTGGCAGGCTTTCGGGGTACCTCAGGTGGCTGGAGCAGCCTGGATGTGCTGGCCTCCTCCCGGGCAGCCAAAGCAGGGGGCTTTGGGGCACTGCTGATGACAGGAGCCTTTCGGGGCTGGCTGGCTGGTCTAGGAGTTGGCAGAGAAGGGGGTCTGCTGGGGGCATTCCTGATCACAGCAGGTAAAGGGGGTGACCGAGGACGCTGAGGTCTACGTGCAGGTTCCTTAAAAAAAAAAAAGGCCCACAGAGAGTGAGAACACTGATCCTACCATGTGACACCTGAGGAAAAGCCCCTCCCTTGCCCTTGGACTTCACCTCAGTGGAAGGTCTAGTGGTCACTTCCAAGGGCAATTTCTTCAGGTCTGCTTGGGAGCGGATGGGTGTGGTTTTCTGTAAGGCAAACAATCAGGATGAAGTTGTTTGCATATTTTAGTATACTTGAGCAAACCTTTTGGATAGTGTCTGGAGCAGGGTACAAATAAAATAGTTAAGCCACAGTCCTACTCTTATAAAACTCCTGTTTTCTTATTGGAGAGACACACAATACATAGATACTCAACTATCAGCAAATTACAGGATACTGTGTGATTAATCCAGCAACTAAGAGACTGGCAAAAAGTGTCAACGGACTAAATTCCTATAAAAGGAATCCAAAAAGGTGGGAAGGGCCCCATGGATAGGGAAAATTTGGATGAGGCCAGAAAGGACAGGTGGGATTTAGCAGCTAGGGAGGCATGCGTAAGACATCATGAATTAGAGTACATCTGCACAGACACAGAAGCCAGAAATGGAAATGATTTTGTAATAAATATGATAAAGATATCACAGACATATCTAGAAAAAAAAAAAGACAAAAAAATGTAAGTGAATAAGCAAAGTCTAAAAGAAACATAAGTGGACACGTGAAAAGTTATGCAATCTTAGACATATTAAAGAAATTAAATTATAAAACATGTATCTTTGCCTATCAAATTTGCAACAACATTTAAAAATAATACTCTCATATACTGGTGGTAAATAATAGAAATTAACACATCTCTGGAGGGTAGTTTATAAATAGTTGCAAAAAACCATAGAAATTTACAATGGACCTTTTAAGTCCTTTAATTTCACTTCTAGAAAATCATCAAAACAATTATGCACTAAAAAAATGTGTATTAACATATATATATATATATATATATATGGCATGATCTCCCTATTTCTATTAAGAAATATATATTTATGTATATTATGCATAGGTATTCATGCGTTTATGACAAATTGGAAGGATGTATGATTAATGATGGTTACCTCTAAAGCAGAATTTTTTTTTTTTTTGAGATGGAGTTTCACTCATGTTACCCAGGCTGGAGTGCAATGGCACGATCTCGGCTCACCGCAACCTCCGCCCCCTGGGTTCGGGCAATTCTCCTGCCTCAGCCTCCTGAGTAGCTGGGATTACAGACACGCACCACCATGCCCAGCTAATTTTTTGTATTTTTAGTAGAGACGGGGTTTCACCATGTTGACCAGGATGGTCTCGATCTGTTGACCTCGTGATCCACCTGCCTCGGCCTCCCAAAGTGCTGGGATTACAGGCTTGAGCCACCGCGCCCGGCCCTAAGGCAGAATTTTTATTTTCTAAAGTTTTATACATTCTGAATGAATTGGACAACTTTGAAGTATATAAGCAATTTTTCTTTAAGAATAAGCAAGGTGTTATTCTTAAAATAACACTGTTGGAAAACATGCACGTGGACCTGGAGGTTGGGGTTGGAAAGCTTTGGTAAACACACACGGGTGAGTGGAGGGTAAAACTGAGCCTGAAGAAACAGGAAAGCTACTGAAGGTTCCTGTTCCAGGCAGAGCCCTGACAAAGACTGGCTTTGCCCACTGACCATGACCCATGTACCTGAAGGGCCTCCAGCTTCTCCTGCTGCTGGCGAATTTTCTCTGTCAGTTGTTTCTGCTTCTCTTCCTGTGTCTTCATGTCCTTTCTGAATGTTCCCAGGGGAACCTTCTGCTTCTGTTCAGAAGCCTCACACCTGTAGAGAGAAAGTACTAGGGAGGACATGGCAAACAGAGCCCCAGGCTGGGCAGCGACCTTTCTCTTCAACCAACCTACACTGTCTGTCACAAGAGCAACCACCTCAGAGTTCCCAATGCATAGAATTAATCATATGCACTGCAGGACATATATCTATTCTTATTTCTTGGGCACTTATTAGGTGCAGCAAAACAGAGATGTAAGGACATGTGTACTGACCTCAAGAAACACAATGAGTTATTTATCCCAAGAGTAGAGAGAACAGTGAGGGACAGGAGAGAAAAGTACCCACAATCCCCTTGTTAGAGAATGTTCTCACCGGTCCTGTTCAGGATCAGGGTTCATGGAGCAAACCCAGGTGTCAGGGTAATCTTTTTCCACAGAACTCAGCTGGAAGGGGAGGGTTCTCCATTTCAGACACAAATCTACAGAGAACAAAAAACCCACACACATCAGCCAACCCCACCAACTCTATCTGTAATCTGGTCTCACAGGCCCACCGCAAAGATGCCCCAGACTATGTAGGCAAAGATCTTCACTCGGGCTCCAACTCTGCCTGTTCTTAGAAAATGCTAATTCTTCTCAGGGACATTGATTCCAGGATGGAAACTTAATATGGTGGACCCTTGACACCCCCAGCCCATCTCCCTCCTCTATCAGTATTCTGGCTCAGTCATCCACACACACCAGTGAGCCTGGCCTGGCTGCAGCCGGAGAGACCTGGGAGGTCAGATGACCTTCTTTCTCACTCAAGAGGAACAGGTGGAACTCAGCAAAGCCTCAAGACTGAGCTCACAGGGCCATCACCAAAAAGACTTGGATCCCAGTGGGACTGTAAGTCCATGAACGTCAGTCAAGTCAGGAGGCTGGCATGAAGGAAGAGATAAGAGGGTCCTGGGCTGATGGAAATGAGCCAGGAGGGTCCAACCACCCAACTCACCACACTGGATGGTGGTGGGGATTTCCATAGCTCTCCGGCGTTTGTAACGCAGCTCACTGGATGGGGGCTGGTTCCAGTTGGCAGAGAGGTAGCCAAACTCATCCCAGAACTTGATGATTCCCCGCTGGGCTGGAAGACAAACACCCATACATCATGTTAGATGGCTCTATGGGTCCATCATGAGGTGGCTCCATGTTTGGAGCAAGCCTCTCTCTCTGCCTACATTCAGGTGAAGAAAAAAGGCAGAGGCCCAGCAGCCCAGCCCCATTACCAATGGCAATGTCCTTCCAATACTGTGCCAGGTGCTCCCCCATTGCTCGGAGCAGGTGCCGGTACTCCTTGGCATCAGCAAAGTCCTGTTTGTTGTGTGTAGGCTCCAGGACTAAGTAGGGTACATCAACAACTCCAACAACCCCACCGCATGCCCTGCAGGGAGAAAGAGAACACAGCTCTGTCACCCCACTGGCCAACACCCTTCTGCAACTATCCTGGGCTAGACAGCTCTCCATGTGTAGTACTCACATGCCCCCTTCCAGCTGTGGGCCCACTTTCTCATACATCTTGATCAGCCGGCTACAGTTGTAGATGAACATGCCATCCAGGTCCCGGTGTTCAATGTTGACCCCAAAAACAAAATTCAGTTCCTTTGGTTCTTTAAGTGCTCTAAGAAGACAAAAAAATTCAAGCAGATCTACACATTAGCACACAAGCACCATGGTGTTTAAGATGTGTTAAGCTTACATCTCTATTCGATGTGCAGCCTGTTGGACTTGATACGGACATGCGCCACGCAACAACTCAAGCATTCCTAATTAAAAACATGAGTTTGGCTTTTTGGTAACAAGGACGTGTTTAAATATGAATGGGTTATCATGAAGCTGCTGCAAATCTGTGCAAATACAGTTATATGGTGGAATAAACATCAGCATATCGTCATAACTTCCCCAAAATTCCACTAGTATGACAGTAAATCAGTATTATTTTAAAAAGCAAAAATTCACAAGAACAATAAGCATGTGCAAGAAGATACCATCATGTGATTACTGTCAACAAAATATTGGAGCTAAAAAGCAGATGGATGAGTAGTGGACTGACTTGGACAGAAGACACCTGAAACCCATGCGTGCGCCAAGGAGGCCAACAAGAGGCAAAACAGTAAATCAAACCACAGAGTCCAAAGTGACTCCAGACATGGAGATGGGACAAGCAGGTAACTTAATAATCCAGGACAAATGCTGATTCTAAATGAAAAAGATACAACACTCAATCTCCAGCATTATTCTACATACATAACACCAGTGAGGGAGAAAATGAATGTGAAAAAATATATATGTAACATAAAAAATAGAGTAGTATCATGAGGTGGCAGAAGTATAAGGGAGTTTTAAAATGTTACTTCTTAAACATTTTATGTTTTTCAAGTTTTATCCAATGAGCATTTTATACATCCTTTAAATGAAAAGAAAGAAAAGGGGAAGAAAAAGTAAGACCGTGCCAGAGGATGGTTTGGTGCTCTATCAGAGGTGTCAGCCCTGCCCTGTCCTTTTTTGACTCAAGAGCGAGCTAAGAGCTCAGGTTAAGACCTCCGTCCTACAAGGGGGTATCTGACAAGCATTTAGCATCAAAACGTTAATGGCTTTCACAAAGCAGTCTTGGTGACAGAATAGCAACCTGTCAATAATCAGTCCAAAAGCTACCTCATTTTAAAAGATCCAAGGCCAGGCCTGGCACTCACCGCTGCTTGGCCTCCTTGATCCTTTTCTTGACATCAGCTTCTCTGCGCAGAGTGATGGCTGTGTTCTGGACCTGTCGCAACATCACCTGCACACACATTTGCATCAGGTGAGGGGAGGAGACACTCTGGGCCATAGCAGGGAATAGTAAAACATTACATCAAACTTCTCAATTTATCTCAAATATGTAAAACTACACCTGGAAATTTACTTCTTTCTACAGAAAATGAACTCAAAATCTGTGTTTTACTTGACAAGGCTCACAGGACATGGGCTTCCTTTTTTTTTTAAGACAGGGTTTCACCATATCGATCAGGCTGGTCTCAAACACCTGACCTCAGGTGATCTGCCTGCCTCAGCCTCCCAAAGTGCTGGGAATACAGGTGTGATCCACCATGCCCAGCAGACATGGGCTTCTAATACCAGAAACGCTGGAGAACAGCCGCCTAGGCCGGGGCCTTACCCTGGAGTCCCGCGTGAGGTCTCCACCTAGGCGTACTTCCAATGTCCGAGCTTTGCTCTCTGCCTCCCGTGCCTTCTCTTCAGCTGAAACCCAGAGGAGAACTTGGTAAGGAATACAAAGATTGAAAACTCTTGGTCATCCCTCCTGGATCCACAGTGGAGTCCCTGCTGGACAAGAAGTGTGTATACCACCAAGGAAAAGGAGAGCCAACGGGGAGCTACAGCTGGCGAGCAGTGTGAGGGCAGCCTCTGTGCCTGGACTGCAGTCAGTTCCAGAAGGAAAATCTGGCATCCAAACCTATCATGGAGGCCCCAAGGAAACTTTACAAATGAACCAGAACAGGTTAAAAAAAAAAACACCCAAGGCAAGCAGTTAAACCCTCAGCACGAGCTAGAAGCTAAAGAAGTCTTCAGCCAATCACTCGCCAACAAGCAGCCGAGAAACCCTGAGAAGCCCTTGAACAGCGTGAGAGACTTTGAGATTTTTGCCCTGAAGTCAGAAAAAACAATTTCACAAGTATTTGGGCCAGAGGTCTGAGTGGGATTCTTCAATCAGGGAAAGCCAAAGAGTTGAAACTTTTAGGCCCTGTAAATGGCTGAAGAAGAGAAACTGGATTCTAGAAAGAAGAAATGCTGAGGGAGTTGGCATGTGGAGGAAGGGGCTGAAAAGTAACTGAACTATGCTTCAGGAGAACAGCCTTGTCCCTGAGTGGTGGACTCAGCCTTTCCCTGGAACCCCATTTTGGCCACAAGCAGCATACCCCAGATGCCCCGCACCCCACTCCTACACCGGGAGTGGCATTACCAATCCTTGCTACGTGCTCTGCTTTCTTCACCTCCTGCTCCGCACGGGTCTTGAAACGGCTTGACGTGTACTTGTACATCCTGATCAGTGGAAAAAGCAAGCTGAGGGCCCACGCAGCAATGGGGCAGGTGGCACACCCAAGCACAGGAAGCACCCTGCCTTCCTGCCTCCTCCCAAGCTGTGCTTTCCTGGCCCCTTTTGATGAGACAAATCCAAGCTCAATTCAGCAAAAAGATGCAATTCCTAATTCCACTTGCCCTTAGCCTCCTGCTCTGTCTTTGATAAGCAACCTCACTATTCGCCGGGGGTGTCATTCATCCCAAAGCAGAAACAAACCTCAGGAATAAGCCAAAGCCATTGCTTTCCTATGTAGTGTCTAAAGGCCCCTTGGCCCTGAAGCCGAGTGACTCAAGACAGCTCACTGTGCCAGGCAGGGCACCCTCCCTGTCACAGACACACACTCAGTGAGCTTATCCAGCCACCTCCACAGCCTATCTGTCCCTCCCCTAGGACCCAGAACTGACCCGGTGACCAATCACAGGCAACTTAAAGGCCCAAACATAATCAGCATTACCAGAGCCTCTCATACAGCATCCCTCCAACAACGCCCCAGAGAAACACAGCCACATCCTCGGCCCATGGGAGACAGCAGGCCAGGGTGCACCAGCCCCTACCTGGGCTTGTACAGGCAGCAGGAGAGCCTCTTGGTCTGAACCTTGTGCCCGTGGATGAAGATCCTCATCCGGGGATCAATATACAGCACAGCAGCATAGGCCCGGAACGAACGCCGCTCTGGCTTCCTGGAGTGGGCAAGAACAGAGAAGTGCTGTCACCTGTTCCAGAACAGGGCTGACCAAGGGCACAACATCCTCTCTGCAAGCTCTCCACCTTTCCATGTTAGGTACTGGTTTCTCTTGCTGCCCTGACCCAGGGCTCCCTTAGTGTGAGCACCACATCCTGTCCCTCTCACATCCTCAGCATAGGTACCCCACAGGCAACTGACCTGGCCCTTTTACTACCCTACCACAGAACCCTGGGCAATTCCTCTCCCCACTCTACACCTCAGTTTCTCCTCCTGCCAAATCAAGGATTTGGATCAGGGGATTATTAATCTTTTCTATTAGCTTAGCTGAGGATCTGTTGTCCTATTCATCTTCTGTCTTGTAGCAAGAAGACGTGGCACTCTCAGCTCCATCAACTCTAATGATGCCACCAAGAGAAATCCAAGGAATGTGCTCTCCCCTCTTTCCCTGAAGCCACCTCCTGAGAGCACCAACACCAGTTCTAGGGCCTCCCTCCCTTCCCAGCCACACTCACGTGCCCTCTGGGGATGTCTCTGCCATTTGGATATCTCTTGGATTTGAGATTATGTCTAGCTCTGGCTCTCCATTATCCATGAGCTTGAGATTGAAGATGATCACCAGTGTTCCTGGAAAACAGAAACCCTTTGTCCTGCCAGTGCCCCGGCCCATCCCCACACCACTTATGATTCTGGAGGTCCCAGATTCTAGGGGATGCAGGCTCAAAGCCTACTTACCGCTGTCCCCAGGAATCTTCATAAATTGGGTCATCACTTCCTCCTCAGTGCGGAAAGGAGAGTACTTATAGATGAGTTCTGTCTCAATGGCAAATTTCTCTACATTGTCTGTGACAGGTTCCCGGGTCCGAGCATTCCAGGTGGGCAGTGGGACTATCACCTGTGGAATAAACATGAGCAGGCACTTTAAGGGAGCCCCCAGAACAGCCTTCCTCCCAAATGTGCATCTATCTTGTCCCTCCCCATACTCCCATACTGTAGCTTCACACTGCTGTGAGGCCCAAGCTCCACAGCCAGGCACCAGATGCTCTGTGAGCTTCAGGGCTTCCGCCTCTTCCCAAGACTCAGCCACACGATTACTTCCTTCAGGATATGTTGGTTTATATGTTTAGAGTCTCTGCATAGGAAGTTCCCTGCTTGGGACGCCCCTGGTCATTTTCTTATTTTGGTAAAAACTCTTACCACTAGGGAATGTATTTGCAATTACCTAGTGAATCTGCAGATACACATAACTAACCTACAATTTAGCAAGTCCACTCCTAGGTACATACCTACCCTAAGAAAAACTTTTGTACATATGTACCAGTGAACATGTAGAAAAATAACCCGGGCCAGGCACAGTGGCTCACATCTGTAATCCCAGAACTTTGGGGGCCAAGGCGGGCAGATCAACTGAGCTCTTAGGAGTTCGAGACCAGCCTGGACAACACAGAGAAACCCCATCTCTACTAAAATACAAAAAAATTAGCCAGGTGTGGTGGTGTGCACCTGTAGCCCCAGCTAGTTGGGAGGCTGAGGCATAACTACTTGAACCCAGGAGGCAGGGGTTGCAGTGAGCTGAGGTCGCACCACTGCACTCCAGCCTGGGTGACAGAGCAAGACTCCATCTCAAAAAAGTAAAAATAAAAATTACTCAAATATCTATTCTAGAGTGGCCAAATTAAACTGTACAATGGAAAACTATGTAGTGATGCAAAGTAACAAACTAACCGCTACTAGCATCAACATGGATGAACATCATAAACACAATGTTATATGAAATAAGATACAAAAAATACCTATAGTACAAGTCCATTTCTAAAAATTCACAAATAAGCAAAACGAAACTATTATTTAAGGATGCATACAAAGGTGACGAACTATAGTGCAAAAGAAGGAAATCATCACAAAAGTTACCTGAAGGCAGTTCTTTCAGGGGCACAACAAGAAATATAACTGGTGAGGGCACACAGGGCACTTCTAACATCAGTCTGTGATGGTAGCAACACAGGTACTGACTTTAAAATTATCCTCTGAACTGCACAAATATTTCCATACACTCTTTCATTTATGTGGAATTTAGTTTTAATAACGTCTAAGCGATATTTTAAAAAATCCTACTCTTTCTTCGAAAACCCAACCTCCTATGCCATTTCGCCAGAGGCCTCACTGTGCTCCTCCCTCCGTGGTTGCTAGGCCGCAGCCCTTGCAGAGTCCTGCAGACAGCTGCCTGAAGGGTTTCCTCTGCAGAGCAAGCCAGGCTAGGCACCTCAGGGGTTCAAACGCTTAGGAAAAAGGGACTCTGTAATCTTAACAAGTGCTGGGGTGGTAAACTGTTAAGAGTTCTAAGACATTTTGCTGGTTTTTTTCTTTTTTTTTTTTTTTTTGAGACAGAGTCTTGCTCTTGTCACCCAGGCTGAAGTGCAATGAATGGCACAATCTCAGCTCACTGCAACCTCTGCCTGCCGGGTTTAAGCAATTCTCCTGCTTCAGACTCCCGAGTAGCTGGGATTACAGGCATGCACCACCACACTTGGCTAATTTTGGTATTTTTAGTAGAGACAGTGTTTCACCATGTTGGCTAGGCCGGTCTCAAACTCCTGACCTCGTAATCCGCCTGCCTCAGCCACCCAAAGTGCTGAGATTATAGGCGTGAACCACTGCACCCGGGGCATTTTGCTGGCTTCTAAGAAGCTTTGTGCTGAAAGTATTCAAGTCGAGGGCTGGTCTGGGCACATTCCTCCTCAGCCTAAAATGATCTTATTTTGAAATCTTGGCTGAGTTTGCACTGGAGTACAATCCAAAATAGTGACCTTCTAGCACCAAGTAAGGAAAAAATCTCAACCTAGCCTCTCCACCACGGGAACTGAGTTCCATTTGTGTTCTGTAAAACTGTACCTCACAGTATGCCTCCCGTTCTTCACAGCAGTCCCAGGTGAAAATGGCATCACTTTGAACACTGGCATTCACTTCCGCAGGCACCCATTCCTCCCCTCCAGAACACTTCTCCTTTAGTTTCAATGGTACCACTTGACCAGTTTTCTTCCTACCTTTCTGGCTACCCCTTTGTCCCTTTGGCTTCCTTCTCCTCCCCCCAACATTTAGATATTGGCATGGTCTAGGTCCCAGGTCCTCTTCTCACTCTATTCTCTCCATTAGGTGACCTCATTTGCTACCAAGAATCCTGAAGCCCCCAGGCGTCCCCCAAACACCAGACCCAGACTTCACTTTGTATGTCCAAAAGAAACTTATACTCTTCCCCTCCATACTTCCCTTCTTCATTCTTCTCAACTCCAGAGAGCCCACACCCCAACTGCCACAGCAGAACCTGTGAGTTATCCATGACTCCTCCCCCTCGCTTTCACCTTCCACTAATCAATCAATCACCAAATCTGTGGGTCCCGCATCCTAAGGAGATGGCAACTCCATGTATTTCTCTCACCTCCCTTGGGCAAGTACCACCAAACTACACAGAGCCTGGACTTCTCAACTGTAACATTCACCCTAATCTTTCCAACCCAATCACCACACAATCGCCACATGGACTTTCTTAAAAGAATCTGATACTGGCACACCCTTGCTTAATAAAGCCCCACACATTCATCAAGGTCCTGAGGTCAAACCTAACCTGGCCCTCCCTGATCTCCAAAGGCCACCACCTTTCTCCAGGTGGCCCTACTGCCAAGTCTCCTCCCATAGCCCTCAGGGCCTTGAGCAGGCTGCTTCTACTGACTTCTATACCCTCCTGTCACCATCTTCAGTCCTATATCAGGAAACATTCCTGAAAACCCCAACCCAGGCTATATTTTCCTGTCCTACTTCTCCTAGAAGCCCGTTCTTTCCAGCTGCCATTCTTCTCTCACTCCAAGTATGCAGAATGAACTAACATACCACACCAAAAAGGCAAACAAACCCACTGGCTTGCTATATTATGATGGAAGGCCTGCCATTCCCTACCTGAACAAGTTTGCTATGATTAAGGCTCAGATCTAAACAGGACCAGAACAAATTTAATCACAGCTAATCAACACAGATGAATTAAATTGAAAGTTTGAATTCATCTGTACTCAGAGCCAACAATAAAAAAAAAAAAAAAAAAAAAAAAAAAAAAAAAAAAATAAATAAAAAAACCAAAAAAAAAAAAAAAAAAAAAAGTTTGAATTCAACTACCTGCCTCTGTCAAAGTTGTAGATTTCTTTCTATAGAACCTCTAAGCCTCCTTCTTTCAAGCCCGGGCCTCCATGTCTTACATAGGAAAGGAGGTAAGAGTCCAGTCTAAGGCTGGGTAGGCCACAGGACTGCCCTGATCCCCCACAACGAGGGGACACCAACCTCACCAGAAACAGCTCTGCAGATATCTGAGCCACAAGGCCACAGGGAGAACCAGCCAAGCATGCGTTTAGCTTACACAATCAATTATCAAAATCATTTAAACTCAGAATATTCTGATTTCATTAGTCCTTCCAGCACACCAATAATCACTGGGCTGTGCAGCCACTCCCAAGGTAAGACCCAGAACATCAGCTCCTCCTGTTTTCCATACACTCACCTGCTTTACTACCTGCCCAGGCTCTCTCTAGGTATCTGAGTCATACTTTCTGACATAGAGTAATACATTTCCTCAAAAGGAAAATGAGCTCATAGCACATTCCACAAAATCACCATCAAATAGGAAAGACACATGGTCAGGGAAGCCCAAAATACTCCCCCTGATAAAACAATGCTCCATGGTAACACTCTCTGCAAGATGGAATTCAAGTGGCAGATCTAAAGGAGCTGCAAATCCAACTCTTTTGTTTTTTTTTTTGAGACGGAGTTTCACTCTTGTTACCCAGGCTGGAGTGCAATGGCGCGATCTCGGCTCACCGCAACCTCCGCCTCCTGGGTTCAGGCAATTCTCCTGCCTCAGCCTCCTGAGTAGCTGGGATTACAGGCATGCGCCACCATGCCCAGCTGATTTTTTGTATTTTTAGTGGAGACGGGGTTTCACTATGTTGACCAGGATGGTCTCGATCTCTTGACCTCGTGATCCACCCGCCTGGGCCTTCCAAAGTGCTGGGATTACAGGCGTGAGCCACCGCGCCCGGCCTAATCCAACTCTTAATTCCTGCCACTTGACAGTCTCATTCTCAGACACAGTTGTTCTCTGAAGAGCTCTGAGATTTCACTTCCTCTCACATTAAAGTTATCTACCTCAACTCCTCAACCAATTCATCAAACCAGCTAACTGCATAACAATTAGGGGAAATGTGCTCCAATCCTGCAAACCCAAAGAGTCTAGCATTGCAAACCACCTACGAAAACTGCCTGGGCAGACTCAGGAAATGGGGACTGGTGATTCAGACCACGAGGATGGGACCTACTTCATCAATGCCTTCTTCCTCATGAAAGGTACGAGACAGAAAGAGGCAGGTCATGGTGTCTTCCTTCTTCGTAAACAGGATAAAATCCTTCCCAATGCGCATTGAGCCCCTGAAAAGGAAGCAGAAATATGTTATTCTCCCAGGGAGTCAAAAGCTCATCTGCAAAAGAAATCAATCCACTCTCTGGACCTGACTGGAAGGCTCTCCTAAAGGCCTCCCTAGGTCCCAGGACTCTGTGCTGAGTTCCACAGCCCTTGTTCTCTCTCCAACCCCCAACCCTCCTTGCCCTCCTTTTCCACAGGCCTGTATAACTCCTTAGTCTTTACTTACAACCTTCTCAACCACACCATACAGGGTTCTCTCACCACCCTTCTAGGGCGGGCTCATTGCTGACCACCAGCCCCAGGTTAGTCTCACTCCCTGCCTATTGCCACAATGCTGAAGGGCAACCCTGCTGTGTTTGAGCTCTGGGTTCATCCCAGCTGCATGAGAGGTGCTGTGCCCTCTGACTGTATCACCATCAGATTTTAGTAGCTGGTACCCTCAACACGTCATATTCCCTGCTGACCACACCCATTTCCCACTGTGTCCTTCCTCAGCTGACACAAACTCCCCTCCATTCACCAAACAGCAGCACTGTCAAGTGAAAAGCCCAGTGTCTATACTCATAAGCCCTCAAAAAACCAGTATGAACCCAAGGTACAGCAATACAGAGGGGCTAATAAAATTAATTATTGACCACAGGATTCAAGGAGGCCTGTAATTAGCTCGTGTCCAATAATTAGAGCCATCTCCTGTCTCAGAATTGTTTTGCCACCTCAGGCTCATTACAACACAGGCAGCTCCCTGCTTTTGGATGCAACTGGTTTCTGGGAACTGTGCCTTGAGGCTGATTTCCAAAAGGCAAAAGTCTAATGAAATCAACTGCTTCCTTCCTCTGTTTGGCCACCTTAAGCCAGCTAAAGAGCAGGCAGGGACAGGCCTTTCCAGGCAATGCAAGGCAGGGCAGAAGCCTGAAGCTCCAGCAGGAGAACTGCCCACCGAACAATGGGGCTGTTCAGCTCCTTTCTTCCGAGCAGCTTCTGCGGCTTTATGGCTATTATCTCATTAGTCTTCATAACACCCCAGGGAGATGATGGAGGTGGAAAGCCTCATTACTCTCTTCTGTGTAAAATACAAATCAGCATGGCATGCCAAGCACACAAATGAATGTCATGCCCCATTTCCCCAAACACTCAGGAAAATTCCCAGGACACTATTCAAAGATACCCTGGGGGCTGCCAAGTCCTAGTTCTCCTCCAGTACCCAAAGTGCTGGCAATGCTCCTTGCCCTGACAATTTCACAGACCACCTCTTCCTCCTTCCCTAAAGCACATGGGGAGCAAGTGAGGCACGTTATCTTGCCTTCTGTCAAAGCGTGCCCTTGACTTACTCTGGCAAAAACTCTCACTTTGTAAAGCCTCTATCTTCCTTCTGACCTTGGCCTCTGAATAGCAAAAGCCCCAAACACCACTTCTCTACTGGCTTCCTTGCTTCTCAGCCCTATTCTCCCCACAAATCACGTTCTCCTAAAACTTACTCAACTTCTGAATTGGTTTCAAGATGATTTTACTGTCTACTCTGAACACTAGATGGCTCCATCTCAATGGGACTTTCACAAAAGTCTTCCACTAAAATATGCTAATAACAACACTCTCACCTTCTATACACTTTCCTTCCCAGTCTGCCAACCACTTTTCAGAGTCACATTTCATTTGTTCCTGAACCTCACACTGTAAAGGACAATGTCAGAGATTAGAACCTCATTTTCTAGGTTAAGAAACAGGCATTCAGAGAGGTGAAATGGCTTGCCTGAGGCCACAGAACTGACAGAACCAGGTAGGAGGAGGCTGACCTACAATCTAGATGAAAAGTCGGGATTTCCCCTGATACTAGGAGACCTCAGTTTTGGGGGATTTAGATCACCTGCATCAGAATTATATGATTACAGGTGATTCATTTCATCTGTGAAAAACAGATTCCTAGCCCCTACCCAGATCCACTGAATCAAGCCAGCAATCTGTCCTGGAAACATCGGCAGGAACCAGGCTCTCACAGCAGTGATAGCATATAATCCTTAACCTACTTGGTATGCATTATCATCTCAACTTACAAAGGAGAAAGCTGAGGCTTAGAGACGTAATTAAGAGGGTGAAGTGAGATTTTAACCTTAGCTTGTCATTTAAGTGAAATGGACAGCAGCTCCATTTTGCAGTCAGAAAGACCTGGTTTCTACCCCAGCTCTATACATAGGCATTTTTATGCCTTTGGGAAAGTAACTTCACCCCTAGAAACCTCAATTTCTTCATCTGGAAATGAGAATAATAGTACCTACAACCTCATAGGGCCATCATGAGGCTTAAATGAGATCATTCGTGTAGTTTATAGCACAGTGCCTGGCAGATGGTAAGTGTCTGTTATTACCATTTGCTTCCTGCCCTGAAACGCAAATCACAAAGTCCAGGTACCAGGTCCTGATTTCTTTGGAAGTACTCCCTTTCTTCTCCACTCATCCAAAGCATACTGCAAGTGAGGACCAAGTGATACTGCTGACTGATCAAACCACCGCCCTCCCTCACACAAACAACACGTTTCCACAGCAAGACTGGAAACGTGACTCATAATTCCATTTGCACAAACTCCAATTCCACTAAATCTTATTCCATCCAAAGGTATGTACAGCTGGAAGTGAGCATTTCAGAAATAGAAACCTTTCTCTTGGGGCTTCACTCAAAACCAGAACAACACATTCCAAACACTAACCAAGTGGGAAGCAAGGGCTAAGAAAAAGTCCCACGGGATTTGCAGTCATTAGGTAGGTCCCTGCTATAGGGCCCTGTGGTACATTCAGCATCCTCTGGGACATTTCTCTTCCTTATCCTGGATCCCCAGTGCCGGGCACAAAACATGACATGCAGCAGGTGCTCAGGGAACACTGCTGCACAGTAAAGCAACCCCTTCATCATCTCAGACATCCCAACACAAGAGAATTACTCATATCCTTGACTACAGGGTAAAAATAAGAATTGGAGAGGTGCAGTTCTAGAGCACAGTGCCAAGAGAAACTTACAGCCTCTCCTGTCCTGTTTTTGGATGTTCATACTTTTCAATCTGTGGAACAAACTCAGCTGGGAACAGCTGGTAAGCTACTCCAAAAACCACCACTTTCTGATTTTCTTCCAGTTCCAGAATTATAGTCACAGAGGGACAAGGAGAAGGAAAGTTTTCATCCAAGAGAAGCAGGACAGCATTGTTGGATTTTGTTTGAGCCCTGTGACAAGCCTCTAATATACCTACGATTTTAACCCATTCCCATATTGCCCAATCTGAGTGGACTCAGGTGTTCGCTTGGCTGACTTCCCAAACTGGATCACACTGGCTGCATCACCTGAAGGGGCAAATACAAGAGAAAGTGATAAGTTTGCATTTCTTTCCCAGGGTCCTCAAAGTCAAAAGTCTTGGCCTTTTTAAATCCAAGCAGGGCTGTGTGTCTACTGAAAACCTCTCTCCAAGGAAATTCACCACCATGAAGCAAATAGAGGCACAGCTTTGCCTGGCCTGTTGCTATCTCCATCACTGTGACCTATGTTCTATTCTCAGAATGAAGTAAGACAGCTAGGGGAGGCCTCTGTAGTTTCAGCTCGAGAATGTTGTGCAAGCTGATAAATACAATGTAAGAGACCAGTAATCTGATTGACTTAGGATTGCCTTTCAGATCCTATCTCCCATATTAGGACAAGACGTGGCAAATACACTAGTAGAATTAAGTCTGAGATGTTGCAACAGACTTCTCACTCCCCAGGTGGATCTTCAGACATAACATTGAGGTTAAGCATACTAGTCAGCGAAATATATTAAAAAAGAAAAAAAAAAAAAAAAAAAACAAAAAAAAAAAAAAAAAAAAAAAAAAAAGACATAACATTGAGGCAACAGAAAAACAAATTCACGTAATAAATACTTTGTAAAAATGGTTACGTCGCAAACCACTCCCCCCAAAAAAAACAAAAATTTCATCACTTACTTGGATCCATTCCCGCTCCATCATCCAAAAAGCAAAGCATAAATCCTCCTCGAAGGTCCTCTCGTCTTTCTGCAAAAGAAGCAGCTGACATTACTGGGCTGTTATCCACCAGAGGGTGGGTAACATGGGCATGATCAGAAGGCAGATCAATGTGAAGCTTGGTCCAAAAAGGTCAGTCAAGCCTAGCTTTCTAGGCTAGTGGGAATTAAACTTCAGGGTCCTTGAGGTGGCAAATTCCCATCCAAGGTTCTCCAGTGCTTTGTAGGTTCATAACAAAGATTGAGAGAATCTATGAGGGCAGGGATATCTGGTCCAGCATCTGGTCATACCCACCACCACTGAATATGCACATACCTCACACATATCTCAATCATCTTTATCCTTCTGCTCACTCCACCTGGATTACTATCTCTTCTGCCCTATGCCATAGACCCCAAGCACTAAAGTACTCCAACTACTACATACCATATCTTATCAACACTGCTCAAATGCAGCAGGGTGCCTCCTTAAGTCTGGGGTAGCCTTCAAAGTGATGAAACCAGACATGGTATGGGCACAGCAGTGGAAGCTGCTATCTAAAAGATGAAGTACTGTATCTATACATGAGCATCACAAGGCTGACTGGCATTCTGAGCTATCTGCATTCATTATCATATCCCCTGCTAGCTATGGTCCTTGAAAGCGCTCCCCAACCCAATAGTAAGAAGGCATATGGTGCAGTGGGAGGTGCCTGGTTCCTAGCTGACATGCCTGACAGGAAGAGAGAATGGTCCTTTAGACAATAAGATGCACAGCAGCTGCGGTGGGGTTACCTAGCCAACAAAAAAGGAACACAATAAACTATGGTTGCCATTCCAGTGAAAAGAACCTTTTCTCTCAGTAATTGTCTTCTGCAGCAGCAAATAGTAACTGAAAGTAGTCTGGGTCCAAGCATGTCATGGTCAATAGAGAAGCAATTCCCGAATATGCAAAGAGGCTATACTAGTTTCCAAGATGCCTTTTGACTCAATGAGGACTAGGTGAGCAAAGGAGGAACCAGCCTTGGAATCAAGGAAGTTAATAGACACAAAGATGAGAAGGATGTGAGGCAGAGGTGTATAGGCAGGGGACCCACATAAACCAAACAAGCCAACTGCTCATATAGATGCTAGTCAGTCTACTGATTGGCACAGGGATAAAGGCAGCACTTCTAAGAGGAAAGAGGTCTGTGTAAGGTAATACAGGGGCAAGCCCAAGGCTGCTCTGGAGCCTGGTCCCTAACTGAGGATATTTTAATCTCCCCAAGCTTCAGTTCACCAACTTTGTACAACTATCTAAGCTGACAAATCTGTTGTAAATGATATTTGTCCTTCCTTCAGGCTAAAAACTCAAGTGAGTAGTGACTGCCCTCTGTTAAATAGACTTATCCAGGTAAATTAAAATGCTATTTCAGCAAAGCTATAAACCACAGAAATGTTCAAGTATCACTCAGTGTTCAGAAAGCTGAGCTTAATTACAAGTGCTTCTTGAAAGTTCAAGGATGAGGATCTTCCTGGAAGTACTATTGGTTAGATAAAATTTCTCCTGGTGGCAGTGCCTCTAATTAGTCTGGGGAATCCAAATGAGATGTGGCAATCAAGAACAAGTACAATAAAAGTGCAAAAGCCTTCAAAATTTCCATCTGGAAGGAGCCAAGTGTCATATGAAAACTCAAACTGGGTCAGGTACAGAGAATGGTAAAAGCAGCGTTCTAAACCTAGCCAAAAGACATTTGCTGTACACTACAGTCACAAAATGTGCATGAAGACTCTGCTTTGGGATCTAGAAATTGATTCAAGCCAAACACATGTGAAAAGTCCCCAGGGACTACTGGCATTCCTTGGACACTGCCTAAGAAGTTACTTTCTAGGCCCTTATGTTAGTTAGGACAGAACTCTCAGGCTGCTTTAGCACACCATCATCACATAACAGTGAGGCTGGGATCCTTTTCTGGCTCAAGGACTTCATTTCAAAGCTTTTTTATGTAGTTTAAAGGTTAAGAGATGACACTGGGAAGATCCTCCTGGCCACATTGTAACCGACAGCCTATAAATGGCTAGTAGCGTCTAGGTCCACAGTCACATGCAATACTGCTCATGGCCAAGAAAGGCTAAGACAGTACTGACTTCTTCAACTTTGTAAACAGACAGTGTGGTCTCTTCACCTTGTTTCAATGCTGATGCCAATCACTTGTTTATTCAATGACTACTTGGTGATCAGTTCTTCTGTGCCTGGTTGTGATGAGGACAAGAGAGTGGAAAAATACAGATGTGATCACTATCTTCATAAAGCTTACAGTCTAATGGACCCTACTGCCTGCAGCAGATAAGCTAGGAAGGACAGGAGGGTTTAAGCTGAAGGAGGCTGAGAAAAGTACTGGCTAGAACAAAATGTAGTATGGGTAAGAATTATCCAAAGAGCTTGTGAAAATACAGACTCTGGGCTCCCACTGGATAGTCAGTGTAAGTTTGAGGTGGGGCATCTGCATTTCTAACAAGCTCCAAGATGATATTGACAATGTCTGTGGGTGGCCCATGCTTTGAGAAGCACTAAACTGGAGCAAGAAAGAACCTGAAGGCTTCCTTGCTCAAAACTATCTCCTATCACCTGATATTTAATCAGTCAACTGAGCGATATCTGAAACCTTCAAAGATAAAGAAGGGGGAATTCTGGATGGAGAAGAGTGTAAGCAGCTGGGGATTTCATGTTCCCTGCCTCCCATCACACATCTTGAAAGCAGGACAGAGAAGGCAAAGCTGAACTGCCTGCTTTGCAGCTTAGCTTCACGTCCTGGGAACAGCTATGTAAG